GGCCGCACGCATGCCAGGCGAGCGCGCTACTGCTTGAGCCACATCCCCAGCCCCTAGATGGATTTTCTTGATCAAGTTTGTGGAAGACTAGGATATATCTTCCCTTTTGTATCTATAGGAATATAGGAATGGCAAATTAACTTGATCAAGCAAAATTAAAGGTTACTGAGAGGCCTGTGGTTGTATCCACTTTAAAATTCCTTGAGTACCTAAGTATAGCTCATTTTAAAGATTTTTAGATTTTCAAATGCTGTGAAACTATAGCCATAGGGTTTTTGTTCAAGGGATATAATAGTTGATCTGGGATGGTTTTATTTATATGTAAGTGAGCCAAAATAAATTTTTAAAATTACTGTTTCTTCCCATGAGTTTTTAAAAAAATTAAATCAGATAATACTAAGAGTCACATAAACAATATTTATTATCTCCAGAATTTGTCTTTACTTTGAATTCTTCTTTCATTCCACTAACCTTGAATTATTCAGAAGCCACATTACGTTTATAGAAAATTATTAAATCACTTACTTAAAACATGATAGTATAATTGCAGGGAAAAATAATTCAGGAGAGCCAATAGTGATTTCTTGCTAGTTATGGCAAAAGTCGTATGAAGAATTAGTACAGGGCCTAATTCTAAGCAAATCAGGCTTATGATGTCAGCATTGAGATGAATTATTGACTGTTAAATGCCAAATGGAGTAAGCAAATAAATGCTCAGAAAGGTGAAAATCAGTATAAGTCAATTACATAATAGAGGTAAAGACCTATTTTTTTATGACTCTTGTGTCAGTGCAGTTATTAATCATGGAAGAAAATGGAATGAGAAGTATGAATGGTTCAAGAGAACCCAACATTACTCTGAAAAGAACTTGACCTTTTTCTGTTTAAAGGACAAAAGTCATTTCAGTCTCTTTCCATAGTGTGACAGTATCCAGTAACATTCAGCCTCAGATGTCTGTCAGAGTGATTTGAGAATGCTTATACATTAGTAATTACCATTTATGCAAAGGAATAGTTATAAATTCATTAATTGTACATACTTATGAAAATGAAATAAGATGCTTTAAAAAATAGTTTATATTGCACATATTTGTTACCATATTATCTAAATAATTTGATATAAAAACACTTAAAATTTTTTTAAATAAAATTTCCCAATTGAAAGTAAAAGTATTGTAATCCTAGCTACTCAGGAGGCTAAGGCAAGTAGATTGCAAGTTCAAAGACAGCCCTGGAAACTTAGCAAGAATCCGTCTCAAAATAAAAAATAAAAAGGGCTGGGGATTTCAATAGTAGAACATCCCTGGGATCAATCCCCAGTATCTCTCACACACGCGAGTGCGCGTGTACAAGTTGGTAACTCATGATTTTTTTATTGTTTTGTTTTTTGATCTGAGATTTATTGATGATTATTTTCTTTTGCAGTGGAATCAAATACAGAGCCTTTTTCATTTAATTCTTTGAGAGGTAGCCTGATTCTAGGCTTTAGGAGGTAAGATGATCAACTTAAATGTTCTTTGTCTGAGTATGTACTTATGTCTCTTGTTCTTTTGATCTATTGAATGAAGAAAGATCTTACTATTTAAAACAACCTATCTGTTCTATTCTTCAAGTAGTTAATTGAATTGAGTTTAGGCAGTCTCTTATATCATGGTTTTTTGTTTTTTTTTTTGATGGACACAATAATATCTTTTCTTATTTATTTTTTATGTGGTGCTGAGGATTTCGAGGCAAGTGCTCTACCGCTGAGCCATACCACCTCCCAGAAGCACCACTCTGGGGATCAGTGGTTCCTTTGACATATGGCCTTTGGGGTGCACTCAAGGTTGTAGCACTTGGTTAATGTGATAATCGCCACATCTTGAGTGTTTCCTCCCACAAATGTGCATATAAGTTCTCAGCTAAAGAATAAGTCAGCTTTTTCCAGATTTCTAGAGGATGCTCTGTTCAGGTTGACCTCTCTGAGGTTCTCTAACCCTTGAATTCTGACTGTCTTGACTTCTGGATTCTCATCTCAGGAAACCCATTGGATTCTGTGTTTTTTCTTATTGAATTGGGGCCTAGAAACTTCCCAGATAAAGAGCTGGGGTAGTTTTGGCATTTACCATGCATGTTTCTCTTCCTTCAGATGTCACTTTTTCCTCTGCCTGTTGTCCAATGTCTGAAACCATTGTTTCTGGCTTTGTACTTGTTTGAGGTAGGAGACAAATGTATTCCCTGCTGTATTGCATCATTGCAGAGAAGTGGAGATGACATGACAGAAATCTCCAAGATCACCATCATGTATAGTGATTCCGTAGGGTAGGTGTGCCCACAGGATTCACCAAATATTCGGCTTATAGTCATACTCATTTTTGAGATTTATTATAGGACACAAAGCAGAATCAACAAGGGAAAAGACGCATGGGGCAAAGACTAAAAAGAAACCAGATACAAGCTTCCAAGATTCCCCTCCCTGTGGAGTCACTTAGGACATGCTTAATTCTTCCAGGAATAAGTTGTTTTAACATATATGAAATGTCTATGAGGGAAGCTTATTGGAGCCTAGAAATCCCAGGTTTTTATTGGGTCAGTCATTAAGTACCTCCACTTAGCATATACCAAAATTCCAGACTTCTGGAAGGAAAGTAGGTGTTCAGTCTAAACAAGTCAGGCACAGTAGCCACTCTTTAATACTTAGTGAATGGTGGGGAAGTCTCCTGGAATCTGAGTTCCCATATGCCAGTCAAAGGCCAGTCTTGCAAATAGACCTTTCTACGGAGAGCACTCTTAGTCATTTCTGCACAGATGTTAGAACTCAACTAGGATTTGGCAGTGGAAATAATAAGGGGATGTATAAGAAACTGTGGAAGTTAAGTTTACAGATCATGATGATATTAGAAGTTGGTGATAAGGAGAATATTAACCAGGATGGAGAAGGAGGAGTAGCTTACTTTGGCTGTATCAGTTTTGGGATAACCTTATGTTTTCTATATAATGCTATTTGGTAGAGATGAGAATTGGATTTGGGAATCACCAGTGAGGGACTGATTGAAGGTATTGAGGGAAACAGGGTGGAACAGTGATTCTTTTTTTATATATATATAGAGAGAGAATTTTTAATATTTATTTTTTAGTTTTTGGTGGACACAACATCTTTGTTGGTATGTGGTGCTGAGGATCGAACTCGGGCCGCATGCATGCCAGTCGAGCGTGCTACTGCTTGAGCCACATCCCCAGCCCAAGGAATAGTGATTCTTAAATCCAAAAGGGTTCTTGAAGTATTCCCTTGCCCCTATAAAAGCCTTTGTTGTAGAAACCTGTAAACAGGCATCTAGAGAAAATATTTGAGGTTTTATGTTTTTTATAAAAATAAAAGTGGTATTACACTTTATATACTACTCTTCAATCTTCATTTAATGCCTGCAGAAGATACATAGTATACCCCAGTAAAATTATACTGTTGTTTTTCAATAATTTCCCTATTGATGGACTCATACTGTTTTTAATGTTTACCATTGCCAAAAAAACCCAAAGTGCTGCAGTAGATATTAAGTGCACATATCTGTTTGTGTTTGTGTATGTGTTTCTATATGCACATATTTTTTCCCCCGCTTAATGGCTAGAATTTTAAAAAGAAACTTTCATTGGGTATGATGGTGTATGACTGTAATCCCAGCAACTTGGGAAACTGAGGCTGGAGGATTGAGAGTTGGAAGCCAGCCTCAGCAACTTATTGAAACTGTGTTTCAAAACAAAAAAAAATAAAAAGACCTGAGTATGTAACTCAGTGGTGAAACATTAGTAGGATAAATCCCCAGTACTCCCCAAAGAGAGAGAGAGAGAGAGAGAGAGAGAGAGAGAGAGAGAGAAACTGACTTTCTATTTCAAAGGGTATACATAGTCTTTATTAGTCACTGACATATTACTTTAAAAAGAAATTGTATTAGATTATATTAGCAATTTCACTGCAGAATATGAGAGTATCCATTTCCCTGCATCCTTGGAGGTACTGAACATTATAGTGCTTTTTAATTTTGACCTAACTGATGTATGAGAAATGATATCTTATTGTATAAGATACTTTATATTGTCTTAACTGTTAAGCAGAGTTGAAACATGTTATCTGCTTACTGGCCATGTGGATTTCCTCTTCTTGAAATACTATAAAAATCCTTTGTCTAAATTTTCTACTAGGTCATATGCTTTTTCTTACCAGTTTGTAAGATACTGTGTATTAGGGATGTTTATCCTGTATCATGGGTGAAATAAGTGATTTTGAGTTTTTTGTTTGAATGTTTGTTTCTGTGGTTTTTTTTTTTAATCGTGTTGTAGAGAGTTGGGAAGGAAAGCTATGATAAAATCCAGGGTAACTGGAAGGAGCTAGTGAAGAAAGGAAATTTTAATTACAGAAATTTTACAAAAGGAAATTGTAGTTAGTGTTGTAAACTACAGAGATGTAGGAGAGGGCTAAAGAAAGAGGGTGTTCATATAAAAGATTATTATCTTTTTATAAAAGATTTTTATCTGATTATCTTCAAGAAAAGAGTTTTTAATAGCATTATAGGGGAGAAGGGGAGACTGGAAGCTGTGAGAATCTTGGTGTTTTAAAGTCATTGAATTAAATACTACATTGCTGAATTTATGTGTTCTTTGAGATTATTTTTATTTGAATAGATATGTTGAAAATATTGGAAAATAGATTACTTTATTTGTAAACCACACCAAGCTAAGTGCTTTGCTTCTATCCTCATTTAAATCCTCTTTTGGTTATTTCCCTATTTGTTAGCATCTTAAATGCTTACTTGATTCTTGGCAAATAGCCACATATTAATAAAAATTTAAATATATTTAACAAAAGGCCTGCTTAGTGTTTGGGCAGTTGCAAATCCTTCTTTGTTCTTGCCATAATCTTAGTGAAAATAAGTTTAATTAATCCCTTCTAGAAATAAATATGTAGGCTCTAAAACTTTATTTTGTTAAGCAGTTTTTCTTATGGTAAAATTTTAGGTTATGGTGACTTGGTATTATTCATAATAATATGTACATAATTGGAAGCATTTATGACATGAGGTGATTTCTTTCTTTCCCTCCCAACCCCAAAACTACAAAAAATTCAAAACATAACTGATGTAATTAGAATCCTTTATCTTAGAATTAATGTAGCCAAGGCATTCTGTCATGTGATGTCAAATATAATGTTATATATTTTTATAAATCCCTTCACCAGTACATTCAGTGCAGTCATTGTTACAGTCACCTGTTGTGTTTGTCAGGGTCCCATTATACTCGTAACACTTAAGAACTGCCTAGGTGACTGGGAAAAAACTGAGCACAGAGTGGCAATGAATCCCAGGTCAACTGTGTCATTGCCAATAGGGTCCATGTTAAGTTACCTGTAACTCTTAGGCTCATGAGCACATAAGAAATTGAACAAAAGAGGGGCTGGGGTTGTGGCTCAGTGGTAGAGCTCTTGCCTAGCATATGTGAGGCATTGGGTTCGGTCCTCAGCAACAAGTAAAAATAAATATTAAAAAAAGAGAGGTAGATTAATTCACCAAAAGTGATTCCGTGCCAAAAATAAGTTAATCAAAAGTTACCCATAATTTACATGGATGTAATTAGAATTGGAATGCAATGTTTAGAGTATTATCTGTCTTTTAATAAGACCTGCCTAGTAGTTCAGTGCCACGAGGACAGTAATGTCTACCAGTCTGCAGCCTGATTTGCTTCAGGTTTATTTTTTAGGCTATCCCATAATATTTATGGAAACATGCTTTTCTTTATATCTTTTGAGAGTAGTTTAAGTGGAAAGCTGATATTTCTGTGTATTGATAAGCTCAGGAAATGGTAATTAAAGATCAGTCAAGTGTAATACCTTTCTGGAGTTTTCCATTTTATAAGTTATCTTTTAGCATACATAGGCAAAGTCATCAGTCAAAAACTATTCAAATTTAATACTGCTGAGAGTGAGGTTATTCAAGATTACTAGGGAATTTTTTTCTTTTAAACCTTTTTTTCAAAAAAATCAGTCTATATATCAGGGCATTTTAAAGAGTATTTAGATCTGACTGATAAGTTAGTGAATTCTCATGTCAAATGCTAGAACTTGAAATTTTTAAATAAATACAATTTTTCTTTCCTCCTAACAATCGTACTAGTTTAACAAAGTTCAAATGGAAAAATGTGCACTTTCAACAGCTAAAGTATTAAGTCTCTTCTAAGAGCAAATTGACTCTGAGGCTAGTTTAAAACTTGTTTGGGAAGATAACATATCTAAAAGAGAAGTATTTCAGAATTAACCTGGGGATATATGAGTCTTTAGTGCATAGAAAAAGAGTCGAGTGGTAGACATTTTCTGACCCGAAGGCAATAGCCTGAACTTGCTAAGTGGGGGACAGTACCAAGTACTGCTGCCTTCCATGTATTGATTGAAAACCAGGTTTCTGATTCTAAAATTTGTAGGATCAGACATTAGCTCCACTGAAGTGCTCAAGTTTCCTGGCAGCTAGG